ATCTCGCAGTCTTCTTTTACTTGTGTATATTTTGGAGCAGAATTGCTAAGATATCCAATAAGTGGTAGGTAAATTATTTTGAGTGCTTGAAAAGAAAGCCTTAGGTACAATCAGTACCTACCATATTTCGTGGAATTCTCACATGGGGTATGGGGTGTATGGGTATATTAACTACCGGTGTGAAATTAGCCTCTAAAGATAGCCTCCAAAACTTCCGGAAACTGCCGAACGGCCAGTGGCGTCGGAAATATAAGACAATATAATAACCTTAAATCTGCTCGTACTGAGAGGGTCATATTTTCAGGAAAAATTGGGACAAGCATTTACTATTTTTTCACCCTGATACCAGATTCCGATAGGCCGTCAGAGGGTGTCAAAGTAGGGTTGAAGATATCAAGAAAATCATATCTCAAAATATGCTCGTGCTCACAGATTTATAGTTGCAGGATAAATTACGACAAGCATTTTGTATTTTTGCACCCTAACAGCAGATCCCGATAGGCCGTCAGAGGGTGTCAAAGTAGGGGTGAAGATATCAAAAAACTCATATCTCGAAATCTGCTCGTGCTGACAGATTCATATTTTCAGGACAAATCATGACAAGCATTTGCTATTTTTTCACCATTACGCCAAATCCCGATAGGCCGTCAGAGGGTGTCAAAATAGGGGTGGACATTTAAAAAAAAAATCATATCTCAAAATCTGCTCGTGCTGACAGACTCATATTTTCAGGACAAATTATGACAAGCATTTGCTTTTTTTTCGCCCTAACACCAGATTCCGATAGGCCGTCAGAGGGTGTCAAAATAGGGATGGAAATTAAAAAAATCATATCTCAAAATCTGCTCGTGCTGAAAGGTTCATATTTTCAGGACGAATTATGACAAGCATTTGCTGTTTTTTCACCCTAACACCAGATCCCGATAGGCCGTCAGAGGGTGTCAAAATAGGGATGGACATTTAAAAAAAATCATATCTCAAAATCTGCTCGTGCTGACAGATTCATATTTTCAGGACAAATTATGACAAGGATTTGCTTTTTTTCCCCCTAACACCAGATTCCGATAGGCCGTCAGAGGGTGTCAAAATAGGGGTGGAAATTTAAAAAAATCATATCTCAAAATCTGCTCGTGCTGACAGATTCATATTTTCAGGACAAATTATGACAAGCATTTGCTACTTTTTCGCCCTAACACCAGATCCCGATAGGCCTTCAGAGGCTGTCAAAATAGGGGTGGAAATTAAAAAAAAATCATATCTCAAAATCTGCTCGTGCTGAGAGATTCATATTTTCAGGACAAATTATGACAAGCATTTGCTATTTTTTCACCCTAACACCAGATCCCGATAGGCCGTCAGAGGCTGTCAAAATAGAGGCGGAAAAAAAAAATCATATCTCAAAATCTGCTCGTGCTGACAGATTCATATTTTCAGGACAAATTATGACAAGCATTTGCTATTTTTTCACCCTAATACCAGATCCTGATAGGCCGTCAGAGGCTGTCAAAATAGAGGCGGAAAAAAAATCATATCTCAAAATCTGCTCGTGCTGACAGATTAATATTTTCAGGACAAATTATGACAAGCATTTGCTTTTTTTTCGCCCTAACACCAGATCCCGATAGGCCGTCAGAGGGTGTCAAAATAGGGATGGACATTAAAAAAAAAATCATATCTCAAAATCTGCTCGTGCTGACAGATTCATATTTTCAGGACAAATTATGACAAGCATTTGCTATTTTTTCACCCTAATACCAGATCCTGATAGGCCGTCAGAGGCTGTCAAAATAGAGGCGGAAAAAAAATCATATCTCAAAATCTGCTCGTGCTGACAGATTCATATTTTCAGGACAAATTATGACAAGCATTTGCTTTTTTTTCGCCCTAACACCAGATTCCGATAGGCCGTCAGAGGGTGTCAAAATAGGGGTGGAAATTAAAAAAATCATATCTCAAAATCTGCTCGTGCTGAAAGGTTCATATTTTCAGGACGAATTATGACAAGCATTTGCTGTTTTTTCACCCTAACACCAGATCCCGATAGGCCGTCAGAGGGTAACAAAATAGGGATGGACATTAAAAAAAAAATCATATCTCAAAATCTGCTCGTGCTGACAGATTCATATTTTCAGGACAAATTATGACAAGCATTTGCTTTTTTTTCGCCCTAACACCAGATTCCGATAGGCCGTCAGAGGGTGTGAAAATAGGGGTGGAAATTTAAAAAAATCATATCTCAAAATCTGCTCGTGCTGACAGATTCATATTTTCAGGACAAATTATGACAAGCATTTGCTATTTTTTCACCCTATCACCAGATCCCGATAGGCCGTCAGAGGGTGTCAAAATAGGGGTGGAAATTAAAAAAAATCATATCTCAAAATCTGCTCGTGCTGACAGATTCATATTTTCAGGACAAATTATGACAAGCATTTGCTGTTTTTTCACCCTAACACCAGATCCCGATAGGCCGTCAGAGGGTGTCAAAATAGGGATGGACATTTAAAAAAAAATCATATCTCAAAATCTGATCGTGCAGACAGATTCATATTTTCAGGACGAATTATGACAAGCATTTGCTGTTTTTTCACCCTAACACCAGATTCCGATAGGCCGTTAGAGGGTGTCAAAATAGGGGTGGAAATTTAAAAAAATCATATCTCAAAATCTGCTCGTGCTGACAGATTCATATTTTCAGGACAAATTATGACAAGCATTTGCTATTTTTTCACCCTAACACCAGATCCCGATAGGCCGGCAGAGGCTGTCAAAATAGGGGCGGGAAAAAAAATCATATCTCAAAATCTGCTCGTGCTGACAGATTCATATTTTCAGGACAAATTATGACAAGCATTTGCTTTTTTTTCGCCCTAACACCTGATCCCGATAGGCCGTCAGAGGGTGTCAAAATAGGGGTGGAAATTAAAAAAATCATATCTCAAAATCTGCTCGTGCTGACAGATTCATATTTTCAGGACAAATTATGACAAGCATTTGCTATTTTTTCACCCTAACACCAGATCCCGATAGGCCGTCAGAGGCTGTCAAAATAGGGGCGGAAAAAAAAAATCATATCTCAAAATCTGCTCGTGCTGACAGATTCATGTTTTCAGGACAAATTATGACAAGCATTTGCTATTTTTTCGCCCTAACACCAGATCCCGATAGGCCGTCAGAAGGTGTCAAAATAGGGGTGGAAATTAAAAAAGATCATATCTCCAAATCTGCTCGTGCTGACAGATTCATATTTTCAGGATAAATTTAGACAAGCATTTGCTATTTTTTCACCCAAACATCAGATCCCGATAGGCCGTCAGAGGGTGTCAAAATAGGGGTGAAGGTATCAAAAAAATCATATCTCAAAATCTGCTCGTGCGGACAGATTCATATTTTCAGAATAAATTTGGACAAGCATTTTCTATGTTTCCATCCTAACACCAAATCCCGATGGGCCGTCAGAGGGTGGCACACTAGGGATGAAGATATCAAAAAAATCATATCTCAAAATCTGATCGTGCTGACAGATTCATATTTTCAGGACAAATTACGACAAGCATTTGCTATTTGTTCACCCTAACATCAGATCCCGATAGGCCGTCAGAGGGTGTCAAAATAGGGGTGAAGATATCAAAAAAATCATATTTCAAAGGATAAATTATGGCACACATTTGTTTCTCACCCAAGGCTCCTAAAGTTAAGGTTGTCTAGTAATGGGTAACTTGATGAAACATCTGGGATGCCTTATGTAGACACCCTCTGACGGCCTATCGGAATCTGGTGTTAGGGTGAACAAATAGCAAATGCTTGTCGTAATTTATCCTAAAAATATGAATCTTTCAGCACGAGCAGATTTTGAGATATGATTTTTTCGATATCTTCACCCCTATTTTGACCCCCTCTGACGGCGCATCGAGATTTGGTGTTAGGATGGAAAAATAGCAAATGCTTGTCGTAATTTGTCCTGAAAATATGAATCTGTCAGCACGAGCAGATTTTGAGATATGATTTTTTTGATATCTTCACCCCTATTTTGACACCCTCTGACGGCCTATCGGGATCTGATGTTAGGGTGAAAAAATAGCAAATGCTTGTCTAAATTTATCCTGAAAATATGAATCTGTCAGCACGAGCAGATTTTGAGATATGATTTTTTTGATATCTTCACCCCTATTTTGACACCCTCTGACGTCCTAACGGGATCTGATGTTAGGGTGAACAAATAGCAAACGCTTGTCATAATTTGTCCTGAAAATATGAATCAGTCAGCACGAGCAGATTTTGAGATATTATTTTTTTTGATATCTTCACCCCTATTTTGACACCCTCTGACGGCCCATCGGGATTTGGTGTTAGGATGGAAATATAGAACATGCTTGTCGTAATTTGTCCTGGAAATATGAATCTGTCAGCACGAGCAGATTTCGAGATATGATTTTTTTGATATCTCCACCCCTATTTTGACACCCTCTGACGGCCTATCGGGATCTGATGTTAGGGTGAAAAAATAGCAAATGCTTGTCTAAATTTATCCTGAAAATATGAATCTGTCAGCACGAGCAGATTTTGAGATATGATTTTTTTGATACCTTCATCCCTATTTTGACAACCTCTGACGGCCCATCTGGATTTGGTGTTAGGATGGAAAAATAGCAAATGCTTGTCACAACTTGTCCTGAAAATATGAATCAGTCAGCACGAGCACATTTTGAGATATGATTTTTTTTTATTTCCACTCCTATTTTGACACCCTCTGACGGCCTATTGGAATCTGGTGTTAGGGTGAAAAAGAGCAAATGCTTGTCCCGAAAATATGAATTTGTCAGTACAAGCAGATTTTAGAACATATTTTCCTATATTTCCGACGCCACTGGCCGTTCGGCAGTTTCCGGAAGTTTTGGAGGTTATCTTAAGAGGCTAATTTCACACTGGTATATTAACTTGTTGAAGTAAACAATACTTATGTGTAGGAATACTATAAATACAATAATGTAAGTTCCTACCTGCATTAAAAGCCTCATCATCTTCCATAACCCTTACAGCAGCCTCTACAGCATCCAAAGCACTTCCCCCGCGTCGTAAAATCTCGTATCCCGCCGCTACTGACCGTTTATTCCCATCGATTTTGGGCTGGACTCTGGAATCGGGAATATCGCCCGCACCTCCATGGACTAGGATTATCGGTTCCATTTTTTGGTTCGATGCCGCACAAAATGTTGGACACGATAGAAGACTTATGAAAACAAAAATTAAATATTTAGTTGGTGATATTAGTATTGTAATAATTATTAGGCTGTGAACAATGTTAAAAGCTCGATTGAAAGTGGGAACCTATTATAATTTGTAAGTTAAGTTGACAACATCGTTAGTAAAAATCAAGATTAAAATAAACACTTGTAGCTTCCTATCTTGAAAAGCATTGTGATAGATAAAAACGCATTTTATAAATATTTACACTCATCTCATATAAATAATTAAATAATACTGAGTATAATTACCAACCTGATAAGCCCAAGAAAATAATAAATTAGGAACAAAAAGCAACCTGGCATTTAACTTCTTCGAACGTTTCTATTTAATTTTGTCTTAACACTGAGTGCAGAGATGCATTTTCTAAACTAACTGTTTGAATAATGGATATCAAAAGTTCATTGAACTTGAACTATCATTTTGATATGGGAGGAATGTATAGAACATAAGTGAATTGATATGCATTAATTGCGCCGATTCTAGAACATTAAAATTATTATAATATATTATTCGAGAATAGTACCTGCTATTCTTGGAGAGCCTTGAAATAGTCCCTAACATTTAACAATAGACATTATTAGGAATAATTATATGGGGCTATGATGATATGACAGGCCAGTCGGAGCCGTCGGAGGACTTTGACGTGCGTCCATGTCAGAAATGTAAAAAATTGAAGATGGATCTGCAGAAGTCAGAAGTGGTTAATTCAATAGATATTTTAGCTGGGAATAATCGAAGTATGTCGACATGTTTGAAAGGTTTTGGTAATTAAAACACCACGCTCGCCGGGCGTCTTGGTGAGTTTAAGTACCTACCTATAATAAAGGATAAATATATTTAAGACACCTAAGAAAGAGATAACCAAAATAAAAGATGCGAAAAACAACATAGTAGAAGACAGACAACAGATACTAAAAGTTGTGGAATCTTTCTATAGAGATCTGTACGAATCTAAAATAGCAAACACAAGGACAAGGGAAGACAAAATACGAATAATAAATGCAAACTCAGAAAAAATGCCCGACATAAATATGGAAGAACTGGAGAAAGGGTTATCCCAGATGAAAAATGGCAAAGCGACAGGAGAAGAAAACATTCTGCCTGAAATGCTCAAGGAAAGCGATACTAAGACGAGACAAGAACTAGTGAAACTATTCAATAAGTGCATGGGCGCCGCCAGGATTAGTTTCAGGGAGGTGCATACGGTCAGTGGCGGCGCGTGGATTGTTATATTGGTTCAAATTACTAATTTAAGAAGGTGAATCTGCTAAGGTGCGAGAATTTCTCCGGGTGCCACGCCCAAAAACGGTTATTTTGAGCTCTCAGACAAATAATTTTTCTAGGTTATTAAGAAAATTATAGGTATGATGTTTTCACCTCGGTGGAAAGTGGCACGGGCAGTAGTGGCGGATCTAGAGACGAGTGGCCCTCTCGGCAAAATAAATTTGGGGGCCCCTAGCCCTAACCTATCCCTTGAGCAGTGGCGCATCCAGAAAATATGTTTGGGGAATGGTCCCGGGGGGGACCCTGCAAAGGTTGTGGCATCTGTCTAAAAATCTAAATAAAAAATTGACGTGTCAGGGTGCCACGCCAAGTTTTTTTGTACGTAAAAATACAGTTTTGGACGGGCGGCCTAGGGGAGGCCCTGGACCGATGTCCCCTCTGGGTGCGCCATTGCCCTTGAGTGTCACGTAAAAAGTAGGAAAATAAAAATGCGGCCTGGAAATAGTGGTAATCAAATCACAATACATGGACTGTTGGGTCGGTTTGTGTTTCTCGGAATTATGGTCGGATATATTCGGAATACTTCGGAAGCACGCTTAGCGTTGCCAGATGCTCTCAACCACCGAAACGAATATTATTAGGCATGGGCGGTATGGTAAATGACATTTCAAAAGATAGGAATTGAGTCCTTATTGAATGAAGCTTAATTGAAATGGTCTAATAATAATTGTTTTGCATGTATAAAAAAAAAATTACATACTCGAAATTTTCCGCAGCATCGTGGGGCCTTTTTGGACCGTGAGCCCCTGGGCGGCGCACCGAGCTGCCCGGTGATATATATGTTCGCCTTCGGGCACGGATTTCTCGTAATTTAATACTTTTTTCAGGCTATCAAATCGTAGAAGTTAAAGAAATTTATATCAGTAAACTAGAATTTGAGTAAATTCTACAAGTTGATGACGCACGAAATAAAAAAAATAACCCGATCCGAGCCGGAAGTGAGCCGAGGAATGTCGCGGGGAACAAAGAGTGCTAGGGGGCCATCGTTTCTCGTTCCGCCAATTTTTTCAAACAGTTACTATTAAAAAAAAAAAGAAGAATTTTTTCAATGTATTTCGGCCAGGGGGGTGCAAGTGCACCCCCTTGCACCCTGCTGCCGGCGCCCATGAATAAGTGCCTAACAGAAGAACATATACCCAGAGATTGGGAGAATGGTGACCCGACTGATCTCGAAAACTACCGGCCGATAAGCTTACTATCACAAATATATAAATTATTCACCAGAATAATCACCAACAGATTACAGCGAAAACTCGAAGTTTACCAACCAAAGGCTGGATTCGGAAGCCATTATAGCACGACAGAACATCGACACACAGTAAGGCAGATGATCGAGAAAGCTACAGAATATAATATAAACCTATGGATGGCTTTTGTCGATTTCCGGAAAGCCTTCGACACAGTAGAAATCTGGGCAATAATAAAATCCTTGAGAAATGCCAGAGTGGATCAACGTTATATAAACCTCATTGAAAATATCTATAAGACATCGACAATGTCGATAAGACTTCATGAATCATCTGACAGAATAAACGCCAAAAGAGGTGTTCGGCAGGGGATGTAATATCTCCAAAACTATTCACTTTAGTGCTCGAGGATATTTTTAAAAAGCTACAATGGGAAAACAAAGGATTGAACATATATGGTGAACGCCTGCACAATCTAAGATTTGCCGACGATATTGTACTGTTCGCGAAAGAAAAACAAGCATTGATAGATATGTTAGAAGAACTACAAGATGAGGCGGCAAAAGTAGGATTACACATGAACTACACAAAGACCCAGTTTATTACAAATACACCAGATGCAGACGAAACAATACCGATCCATGACAGCACAATAAAAAAGACAGAAACATGCATATACCTTGGCCAAGCTATAACACCGGGCAAACAAAATCAAGAAATGGAAATTGATAGGAGAATTAGACTGGGATGGGCGGCTTACGGCAAGTTAAAGACACCAGAAGAATTAAACACAAATTGTAAGTACATCAGAGAGCCATTGAAAGACGAATTTTAGGAATTTCCCTGAGAGACCACAAAACAAATACTTACATGGATAAGGGAAAGAACCAAAGTCTCCGACATAATAAAAAGAATTGGTTCCCTAAAATGGCAATGGGCAGGACACGTGGCCCAGTGGCGCACCCAAGGGGGGGGTTTTGGGGGTGAAACCCCCCCCCCCGAAATTAAGCACTGGTACAAAGAATTTTCCGGTAAAAAATATTTTTTTTTTGCGATTTTGGCTAATAGGTACCTACAAACTTTCCCTCTTACATAAAAAAATATCCTATTTACAAATTTACGCGAAATTACTGAAATCTAGCAGCCCGGCCTGGCATTGTACAGAGTGGTCATTTTATCTTGCTAACATTTCAAATTGTACATACTGTAAGGTTTGTTTTCCAAGTTTTAGATAGGGTGGACAAAAAACAAAAGACTAATATATTTTGACAGTTATGCACACAAATAGCATTTTTTTAAATGGAACACCCGGTAGATTTTTAGTTTGTTTGATAATATGTTTCATTCTGATTGCAATATATACAATACAATACAGGGTGGTCCTCCGGGAATGACATCGATTGCTTATGGGAAAACTGTGAAAGGTAAAAATTTGAAAATTTGGCAACATAACAATGTCGATGGGGGACATCCAGGTAAAATATTTTCAAGATGGCGGCATTTCCGGTCATACCGGAAGTTGATACCAACTCGGTTATTTTAAATAGAGCACCCCGTAAATTAATGTATTTTTTTGGATTCTAAGGAAAATTCTAAATACATTTCATGTACGATGTCCTATACCTAAGTCTAACCGTTTTTGACATATTTAAGTTTTTATGTAAAAAATTACGTTTGCAGACCCTAAAATAATTGTCAATTTTTCCTATAAGGAAGCCTTTATTCTTTGATTGAACCTTGATTCCTTGTTGAAAAGGACATATTCTATTAGATTTTCATTATGTTTTGATAACTTTTAATACAGGGTGCTTAAAAAATAAGATTAAAAATAAAGTTGAGAAAACTTCCAAAAATCAATTTTTTCAAATGGAAACCCCAAAATTTTATAATTTTATCTTGTTAAGCAATAAAAATAAAGGTAAGTTTGTGTAAGGTTATCTATTCCGAAAATGTTTAGTTTTCGAAATATTGCCAATTTAATATTTTTATATGGCGATTTTGCTCTAAAAATAATAACTGAACGCACCCTTGCGCATGACAGAATGTCAAGCAGAACGTGCATGTCCTTGTCACAAAAATTGAAATAATTTTCGATAATAATCATGCCGGGAAGATTAAATTATACAAATGAAGATTATTTAAATTTATTTATTATTTATGGAGAATGTAATAAAGTTATTTCAAGAACATGTGATACATTTGCGAACCGATATCCGCAGAAACAGAAACCAAGTGAAAAAACTGTTAAAAGAATTTTAGAAAACTTCAAGAACTTTGGATCCGTCAAAGCTAAAGTACATAGAAATAAACCAGTTGTTAACAATGAAAAAAGTTACAAAAATTATTTTATGTCATACCAGTACATTATTGTGTTTTTATACCTTAGATACCATCTACATAATTCATTACTTTATGCCCGTGCGGGCATAAAGTGCACATTATGGCCCGCGCGGGCATAAAGTAAACATT